CCCCGCCCCCAGCCCCGCCCCAACTGCCGCCGGAGCCCCGCCCCCGGCACGTACCACCGCGCCCGCAGAGGGGGGGTGAGAGTGTGAAGCGGCGCGGCGCGGGAGCCGCTGCCCCGAGAGGGGTGCGAGCCTCGGCCGGCAGGGTGCGGCGGGCTCCTACCCCTGCCCGTCCCCGACACATCTCCGCGCCGCTCCTGCATCCCTCCTCAGTACCCGGCGCTCGCCCGCAGCAGACACGCCAGGGTAATAAAGTGGAGGGGACTGCACTGATTTGTCTCGGATCAGTTTTGTTCCCCACAAAGGAGCAGCGTGGAGCGCCCGTGTAGACACTACCCGCTCTCCACCTTACGGGGACGCAACGCACGTGGGTTTCGTAGAGAGATTTCTGTAGCCTTTTATATGGTGAACAGGCAGGGCTTTACGGACCCAGTTGACTAAACCTATTATAGACAGATCATCTACCTGTGTTACTGAGCGTGTGATGCTGGATTTATCTACCGATGAAAACTTTTACACATTTCATTTGCGTGGCGGAAAATGTGCTGTTGTCTCACGGGAAAAGGAGAGCCAGCCTGTGATTAGAAAGAAGGCATCAGCTTTTGTGGTGGAGCACAGCAGCGCAAATGTGCAGTGCGGGTTTTACTAACCAGTGGCAAAAGTGAAGGAAGATACTTTGAGGAAACAAGGGCAAAAGTGTCTTAGAAGTTTGGCAACTTTCAGGGTGCAGACTCTAAAGAGGTTTTTTTTCTTAAGGCAAGTTAATCAACTACGACTAGCAAAATTAAATGTAATAGAAATAAGTTAATAACAATTGGGCTTAATAAAGATACCAGCAACATGGTTTGGTGTCGTGTGTGAAGGGCCCTAGAGGCCATGGTGATGGAGCGCATGATAAAGAACAAGGAAGAGTTACACAACAAGAATCCGTGACCTCAGGGAGTCCCCAAGCCTTGAAATGAATACCATGAGCCTCATTCTGATTTTACACTGGTGAAAATCAGGAGTATATTCACTGACATCAGCCGAGTTACAGCATCACAAGGCTGGTTTGAGAGCAGACTAAGGCCTGTGCATTGGAGAGTGACTCATTTGGGGAGCAGAAGAGTAGCATCACCATGTTGTCTGTTTAGCTAACTGCAGCTGCCATTTGAAGACTGCAGGTCTCCTGAGGTTTGCCATCAGTTTATGGTTGGGTTTTTTGTTTTGTTTTTTAATTTTGTTTCAAGGCCCAAATCAGTTCCAAATTCACTTGGACAAATCCCAAGTCAACTTTCAAATTTTGACTGTGCAGAGCTCAGTTGTTCACGTCTGTGCTCTACCACCCTGGGCAAGTATCTTTCTTCCCAGCCCCATCAGTCTGGGGCTTTGGATACTCCTCAAAGCTGTGGCAAGCAAGACCTATGTTAAAGCCCAGGGTCCCCTAGTCTCACCTGCACCTAGCCAAAAAAATATGTAGTCAAGTTTCCTACATTTAGAGAAACTCAGGGGTCAGCCTACCTGGAGTGCAAGGGACAAGCCTTGCCCTGGGAAAACTGTGATCATGGGACTTACAGGGTTCAGCCTGCTCACAGTGCAAGGGACATGCCTTGGCCTGAGTGAGCACAGTGTTTATGCACAGAAAGATAACTTCCTCAGTAAGCTGAACTTCTAGACATTTAATGTTCTAAAACCAAGTTACTTAAATACTAAACAGCTTGGGAAGCCAATGTGAGTGGAATGGGTTGCCTCTAATATTTCTATTACAATTGCACCTGTAGGCTCCAGCCAAGATCAGGACTTCAGTGTGCAGGGCACTGCACAGACAGATTTAAGACTTCATTAGAAAATGTTAATAATTGTAGTTAAATAGAGGAGGAGTGGAATCAAAGCACAGAGAATCCAGTGGCATGCCCAAGGTCATACAGCAGGTCAGTGACACAGCCAGAAATAGACACAGGTCTCTTGAGTCCTACCCCAGTGTCTGACCTGCCACTTCTGAGCTGTGCCAACTCCCATCATCTGGAGAAACTGAGTTACAGTTCAAAGCTTCTGGTTCAGAAGGGGCTAACTGTGCTGTGGGGCACCCTGCTCTGGCTTCAATTTCCTTATAGTTTAGTTCAAACGTCTCCTTTGTAATTTAAGTTTTGCATAAATTTTTGGCTGGTAACCGGTATGGAAAGGATTTTCTTGAGGACAGGTGTTGATGAAGTTTTAAACTGAAAAGGCCTAACACAAAGAATTTCAATCCAAAGGCAGTTTTTCCCAGGAACTTTGTTTGTATTCATGCTACTTAATTAGGTCACTCAGTTCATCAAATTTTATAATGGCTGGGTAATTTATAGTTCTATTCACCTCCAGTCACCCACTTGGTTCCTGTGCAGTTTGGGGATAAATCCTTTGGGTGACCTGTATGAAGTGAGTTGCCAGTTTCAGCCTGGCTTCCAGTAGCAGGTGGCTGTATCATAAAGGCATCACCACAACGGCCATCCTTTTTAGCAGTCTCAGCAGAGAAGCCAAGTATTGAATAAGCCAGGGAGAAAGGCTTCATGTTGCTAGGAGTGGGCACATCAGCCTGTGTGAATCAGCTAAGGACAATGTGGGGTTCATACTTCCTTGGGTCCCATGGAGAAACAGAGAACTTGAGTCTCTAGGTCAGTCCAGGATAATAATTTACCACAAACACTAGATCTTTATAGTCCTTCAAGTTAAAATCGAAGTGAAACAAGGTAAGCTTTGAGTTCAGTTGGAAAACACACAAAATACAAAGGCCACAAGGCCTGTCATCCTCTAATTGTGTTTTAAAGAGACTCTTCTCTGCAGACACAAATCACTGAGACAGCTGAAACTTCGCAACGTTCAATGATGTATTGGCAGATAACCTTTGTCCTTACATCAGGTCCAATTCTGAACCAACCTGTGCATGCCTAGACTTGGGGTAGTAAACACCTGCCTTCTGCCGCATGTTCGTTGCATGCTAACCAACTGATCAAAGAACACAAAATGCTGGCTCAAGCTACAGT